AGTCCAGAGAGTAGTCGGGAGTCTGACGACGTTGATTGGCTAAGAGTCCGGGAGTCCGGGAGGCAGATAGAGTAGGGTAGGTGTTGATATATTCAGACCTGACTCCCGCGGTGTTGCCATTTTTATTTCAGCACGGCTAGTACTAGAGTCGGCTGTGGAGCTGCGCGAGTTAAGTGTGGTCTCTCGAGAATTGCAGTTGTAGCGTGCCCGTCGCGGTAGATAGGGATATTTAGGATTAGGAACAGGTGTAACAACCCGTGGAGCGCGGAAGCGCTTCGCTCTCAAGGCGCGGATGTGGAAAGTAATAAAACTATTAACGATTCAATTTACTGGTCTTTAATATTTTGAAGTTCAATTCTAAACAGATCTTATGCCTTAAGAATTTACTGAGCGAGAACGATCAAGCGACAAAATCATTCTGCACGTTCTACGTTTGGCGGAGTAGATCTTCGCGCGTTGTCGGTCGATGCCCCTTCCTTGGTGGATCCTGGATCCTCCCTCAGGATCATCCCTCGTCCAATGGTGGAGGAGTTCACTCCGTCCTGTGTGGGCCTCTTCTCCTGGCCATGGTCCACCCTCAGGCGCGTGGAAGTGGAGGCGCTGCGCCAAGACGCTAGAACGTTGCAGCGCACATGTGCTACGAGAAAGCGTGGGACCCAGAGAAATTAGGAAACGACAAGACCTTGTATTGTAAGCGTCTACTAAGTTGAGACGCGAGGTGTGAAACGCTCCGCCTAATCCTCACCTCGAACCCTCGTCTAGTAGTAGTAGTAGTAGTTTCTACTAGTAGTTGTAACCTAGAGAGCGAATAGCGAGAATGCGTGTGGGTCAACTGTATAAGTGTGCGTGTCTAAGTCTGGCCCATCTAGCTCCGACCAATCAGACCCAATTCCTTAGGAGTCTCAACTTAGCAGACGCGTACAGTACTTGCCAAAGCAACTCTTGAGGAAATTTACGACCCTCTGAGAGTGCATGAAAAGACAGGATATCGAGAAAGACTTCGTAGCTTTTAAGGACCGTTCATGACTTGGTCGAAAACAACGAATTGGCTATGGTCTATCATAAATTAGTCTTTTAAGAACTTTCGAAGTGAAACTATTCCATTCTCTGGATTTCCGGCCTTCTCTCAGCTCGATCACCCACGTCGAGGGGTTTACAATTTCCTCTTTGTCTATTTATATAAACGTACGCACAGACGATGTTCGAATTTCGCTCTTAATTTATGACCATCGATACAAAGGTCCTCGAAGAACATTCAAGACATATCGATACAATAGACTATCGATAAATATTCCCATGGCAGTGTCGCCACACCACTCTAAACATATTCACGTGATAACGGTTCACGTTACATACCTATTCTTTGTTCTAGTTACATAGCAGTGATACCAATGAAATACTAGGAAAAGAATATTCCAAAAAGCATAAACATGGCTTCGCGATACAATCACGGTGTTCAGCGAGTTTTAGCGAAATTAGAAGCATCTATAAATTCAGAAAATTATTACGAGGCACATCAAATGTACAGAACTTTATATTTCAGGTAAGTTAACAATTTTATTAACAAACAGCGTCAAAAAATCCTTCCTGCGCAATCTTGGGTATAAGTGTTTAACCTCTTCTTTCAGATATCTCGGACAGAAAAAATATTCAGAACTTTTGGAATTATTGTATAATGGAGCCACTCTATTATTACAGCACGAACAAGTATGTAATACATTTTTTATTGTCATTATAAATATTAAAAGATATATATTTTTAAAATAATGTCATAGTAATCATTTTGATATTAGATTCAAATTGCTTGTATTAGAACTAGTTCTCGAACGATCTGCAGTCGTACTTTATAAAAATTTTAGAAAAAAATGTTGTGATATTTGTATACAATAATATGAATTTTATGTTTAAATATGGTATAATAATTAATAACGTAAATTGTATGAAATGTATTAGTACGTATAATAATATAACATTTAATATAGTGTATTACATTATTATTAATTACTACAGCATGCTAGTGGAGCTGACCTAGGAATTTTATTTATAAATGTCTTAATACAATCAGGAACAGAACCTTCTCAAATATATTTTGAAAAAATTACAAACTTATTATGTATAATGAGTTCTTCCTCACCTGAAAGAGATATATTTGTACAATCTGCTCTTCGATGGAGTACAAAGGGGACAGAATATAAAACTGGTCATCCAGATTTACATCAAAAGATAGCTCAAGTATTTTGGAGAGGTAATTTATTTTAACAAAAATATATATACAATGGTATCACCATAGTTTATCACAAATGTTTTAGAAAAAAATTACGTAATGGCAAGACAACATTTCATACATAGTAAAGATGGTTCTGGATATGCTGCAATGCTTGTTGAACTTCACGAGCAACGTGGTTATATGAATGAAATAGATCTTTTCATTGCACAGGCAGTTTTACAGTAAGTTTGAGTTTTATAACTGAGTAACATTTAAGGCTTTATATACTCTTACAAAATTTCATTCATATTTGTTTCAGATATCTTTGTTTACAAAATAAAGCAGCTGCAGAAGAAGTTTTCAATTCCTATACTTTGCAACATCCAAAAATAAAGAGGGGTCCACCATATCTTCTTCCACTACTAAATTTTTTATTCTTTTTGTTAAAAATAATTGATAGGTAAGGATAAGTTATTTGTTTACTAATAAGTAAAAATTTAATTTATAAATGTGTACGCATTTTTCAGTGGTAAGCTTACTGTATTTACAGTACTTTGTGAACAATACCAAATATCTTTAAATAGAGATCCATGTTATCGACAGTACTTAGATAAAATAGGACAGTTATTTTTTAATATACCGTCTCCACGACCTCGTAATCAAGGACTATTTGGTTCACTGTTACAATCCTTTTTTAATGGTTTGGAAGATGAAGATTCAGACGATGAACAGAGAAATACAGCTTCAACATCACACACCATACAAGAACTTGATTGATTAAAGGTTATATGTCACTGTACAATGTGATGAAAATGAATAATTAATATTTATATATACGTACATATTTTAATGTCCCACATGTTTTCGACAACTGTGTTGTGCTAATCGGTCAAATTTCTAAATACTGCATTGAAATGAACTTTCACGAATGACCTGTACAGATAAACTAATTTATAAGAAAAATATGTGGGATACATTCATAGAAGAATTTTCTAAAATTGCAAGTTATATAAATAGTTCCAAAAAACCAATTTTATATAGAACAGAAATAACTATGAATGGTAATAATCTTTCATATTTTTCTTTTCATTGTCAAAATTTATTTTGATAATGTATTCGACGCATTTCATTGTATTGAAATGATAAGAAAGAAATCTGAATTGTATATATAAAATTTTATTTCAATGCTACTATGAACTTTAAGGCGAAGTTTGAACGAAATCCTTGTGTTAGTAACAATGTATATATCAGATATTCAAGAGCAAATATGTACTTGGATATTACTATTAAATTGAATTTTTGTTTTATGTAAACTTATTTTTGTGACAAATAATTGTGACGTATATACTTATAGCTGCAAAGAATGAATAGTTAATGAATAATATTATTTCTTGCTAAATTATGCTAAAGTAAAGTGAAATATCAATCAATAGATATGTTTGTATTAATGTAGCCATTTATAGATAAATATTTTACCTGTTACTATGATTTAAATAGAGTGAATATAGCAACTGTTGTAGCAACCGATAAAATATTTATTTATTAATAATTATCGAAGTTTTAGTGGGTTATTTATTCAATTAAAAAAAATAAAATGGCCATGATTGTATCATACAACACTAGTGTATTAATAAAGGATAATGTATGATTAAGAAGTATTGTATGAAAGAAGCTTTAAGAAACATGATTAGAAGTACAGATTTATAGTAACTATATACATATGCAAACATTTATGTATGTATGTGTATTGTTATAAAAGTATATACCTAACTAACAAAATACAATTTAAGATGTTCAATATACTTATTATCTAATCCTTTGAACGTTTTAGGTAATTTATATAAATTAAATTACCTTTGTTCCTAATTTTGTAACATTTTGACCTTCTTTTGAGGTTTACTTTAAGTTTTGATTATAAAGGTACGTGTACATATTATAGGATAATATTGTATAATAGAATTAGCATTATTATATTAGTTTAATAAAACGTATTGATTATACTACTTGCATAGGGACAAAGGTTTTGAAATAAAACGTATGAGTCGTTGCATAATTGAAGAGCTCAGAGCAAGAAATGGATACTTCGATTTTCAGTTGACTAGATAAAATTGAAATTCGATGCAAGAAAGGATACAACGCGATACTCTTGTGACTGTTGCTGCGACTGATTTTGATGTTTTTGACTGTTTTTTACCTCAAACAACTAAGCTCTTCAATTATTGTCACGTAAACTAAGTTCACGCTTTTCGTTAAATATTATCAAAATCATTGTTTGTGGTAAACGTTTGCCTATTTTGTTTGTCAACAATAGATTGTTACTAGTGTTACGGTATTTGTCAGAGTTGCACAAAAAAAATTCGAACGCGCTAAACGTGGCCGTTTAGCTGCAGGTTTCGCTATCGATTAACACATTTATATAGTTTTATTTATTTACCGGATTTAAATCGGTTTCGATGCAAGTATTAACTCTTATAATATCGTTGAAAGGGTAGAAAAACGTAACACAATAATTAGCTGGTAGAGACTGACGTTTATGGGCTATTCCATGCAGAGTGATCACAGTTTTGATGGCATGGTCTTGAATCTTTATTGAACTTTGTAGGCTTGTAGAACCCGATATACGAACTAAAAATTGATACTCTGTTCCTCGATATTGTTTAAACTTTTTGATAAGAAATGATCCCAAACCCGGAAAATTATGAAACTTTGTATATACGTAGAGGATATCCCTCTGATTAAAATTCAATTGTTTTTGCTGTCTGTTTTCAGTCTAAAGGGAAAAAAATTGACCTTAAAATTTTGACCGGTTTTATTTTCTTTTTCTCCAAAACCGTTACAGATATTGGCTGTAGTTCCGAATACAACCGGTCGCCGATCAAGATGAAATTTGGAGGGTTGGTTGGGAGCAGGTAGACGACTCCAAATATAAAGTGGGATCTTCGACTTCCTATTAGTTTCCGAGATATTAATTAAAAATGTTCGTACAATACATAGAATTTTTCCTATACAGACGGAACTAACACTGCCGTCTTCGCTGTAGCAACCGTCATCGTGGTGTCGAATAGCCGTTCACACCATAGCAATATCTTCCGTTTCTATAGGGTGTACCATGTAAAATTCATTTTTTTAGTTACATTACGTTATGTTTTATATTGTATTATTAATTCTCAAGGAATTAAACACATTTGATTTATACGTAGGTTAGGTTAGGCGAGATAAATTTCCGGCCGCCGGAAGGCGGCCGGCAACGCTACAGCAATCGTCGTATCTCTAAAGTTTTGAATAGGACACCCTATAGATAGTCAGATTGGAAGCCCTGCTGCGTCAACGGCTGTTTGGCACTTGACGATGTCAGCTTACTACAGCGAAGACGGTTGTGTTAGTTACATCTGTATAGGAAAAATTCTATGTCAGTAAAGACTCGATAAGTGTTCGAAAGGATCTATTCGTTAAGGGGGCAGACACGGGTAATGCAGCGAGGTGACATTACCGGCAAAAATGGGCCTAAACAGGGGTTTACGGGAATACACTTTTCGTCCTTATATGAGAAGATTTAGGGCTGGGTGAGGGCTCATTCGAAAGAGGAAGGTCCAATGCAGGGCGGTCTGGTCATGGTTCAATGCGATTGTGTTTATATCTAATAATATGAGTGTCCAAAGTAGAGGAAAAATCGACAAAATACATCAGCAGATTCCAAGTATTTTTTAGGTCACTAAAACAGTTCCGTGACTCAAACGGTGACCAGACCGCCCTGCATTGAACCTTTCCTCTTTCGAATGAACCGTTATTTAGATCAAAATCTTCTCATATGAGGACGAAAAGTGTATTCCCGTAAAAGCATTCCCAAAGACGAGTTCCGCCATTATCTGGAAACTACAGAGCAAGTCACGTGACAAATTTAGTTCAGCTAGTAGTTGTAAGGTGGCGTCTAAGTAGAAAGGCTGCCGATTTGGAATCGTAGTCAGAATCAAGCGTTAGCTTGAATACGTCACTCGAATTGTGCTGCGAAGGCAAGCGAAAACGGCAACATCGTCCGAACGCTGAGTGAGACGCACTACAGTCATACTGTCCTTCTCTCATTCTGAATATTGAGATTGTCCCTTTTCGCTAAGTTTTGACTGCGGCCCGCCTGGATTTTTCACAGCGCCTCATAACCTCGCCCCATTCAAACTATATCGTGTTTGGTACCATTTTAATCAGAAAAATTTCACCAATGTGCTAGTAAAAGTTTCAGTAAAAAAAAGTCAAAAATAAAAAAGTTTTATAATTGAATTAGTATTAGTCACACCGATACGTTTCGGCTCTTTCCTTTGATCATTAGACCTCTCTCTCTCTCTCCTCCACTGTCTGTCCCTTTCTACGTTCACGCTTGGCTGGTCGTCGCATCTAATTCGAGATTCGACATCTCGGCTGAATGTATGCAACGTCTGGTTCCCAAACTCTGTTGCATATATTCTGCTTTTACTGTATATGTAGACGCGAGGTCCCTCCATTTATTAGTTCTAATAGTACCATAGTACTTTTTTATGCAGAATGTTTCAAGGAGTTGACACAACTGAAAAAAAAATGCAATTCCATTTAAATAAAAAGTAGATTTGCATTTTTTGAGTGCATCGTTGCATTCACGGAGAAAATGAAATCACAGAAAAATAGACATTATCATACTATTGAACTTTTACATAAACAGCTTTTTCCTATCTCTTACCAAATTCAAGATATAACTCGTCAGAAATTGCATGACGTATCCTGTATATTTTTATTAGTTAAAAAACATTTATTTAAAGAAGTTAATAACCTTTTCTAAAAAATTTCTCAGATTGCACGTTCCTTCGGTTCTTTAGAATAGGCATATATTTTTCAGCAGCGAGGGATGCTACGGTGCGCTATATAAAATCCACGCGTTCAGTCAGTCAAAATTTATCGGAGCGGGACAATTGTATCATTTGGGTTGAAAGAAGGATAGCACGATCACCGTACATCTCGCTCTAAACATGCGCCAATGTTTCGCTTTCGTTCTTCAGGCGTTTCGTCGCGATGCCCCTGGCGAGATGAGCTTTTGAATGTGTTTGTAAAAATACTTGAGCCGCTATTGCCTTCCTAGATCGTGTTGCACGCACGCTAGCTGAGAATTAAACCTTTCAAGTTCGTACCAGACCACGCCAGTGGCTCCACCAGGCCCAACGAAAAAACTGCTGTAATACCGACGTCCCGAATCGGAGAGGTCACGTGCCGTGTCTACCCTAGGGATGGGCAATATCACAGCCGACTCTAGTACTAGCCATGCTGAACAACGTGGCAACACCGCTCACGTGACAATCGGGAGTCCTATTTTCAAAAACAGAGTCCTGTGCTCGGAATTGTAATTAACGTCTTTTTTAATTAAAAGCTGTAGTAATATACACTATTTTGTGTTAATTATGTATAAACAATATATAAACGTTGCAACTATGGCAAATAGAAGTGATGTGGTAGTATAAAATTGTTATAAATGTGATATATATTTTGTGTACTCTCGAAGTAGTTTGGTGTTGTGAAGCATAATATTTAAAATATTTACAGTGGTTTCAAGAAAATTTAGGTATGAAGCAAAATGAAACCATCTTTGGATCAAATTGAAACATTTAAGAATTGATAAACGTGTATATAAGTTAATAAAAACCTTGAAACAAGCGAAATTATTGGAACGAAACCAGAGAGGTTATGTGAAGTCCAGAGAGTAGTCGGGAGTCTGACGCAGTCTGACGACGTTGATTGGCTAAGAGTCTGGGAGTCCGGGAGGCAGATAGAGTAGGGTAAGTGTTGATGTATTCAGACCGGACTCCCGCGGTGTTGCCATTTTTACTTCAGCACGGCTAGTACTAGAGTCGGCTGTGGCAATATGTTTCGATTAATTAAATATCGATAGTGTAGGAGGCTTTATTGAGCGGAAGGAAAATAAATGATTTTTAGTAATATTAATGGTATCACCGATATTTATCTTTATTGATCTGTTCGACTCGAGTGTCGTCAGAGAACTGAACTTTTGCTTGCCGTATCCGTACACTTCGCTCGAGGACACGGCAGGCCAGATATTAGTAAACATTAGTCTACAGTCGGTCTACAGTTGGTACATGAATATTGGATGCCTACAATAGTTTCTTTCCTAATAATCGATTATATTTGTCGATGTTTCTACACATCAATTAATCGATTATCGATACTTTTTTACATAACATCGGTATTTTTTATCCCTGTGAGAAAACTGAACAGCATGATATGATAACTCGACGCGCACTATTCAATGAGCGTATAATTTTCGAGAAATGTTGTATGCTCATTGGGTATAAGTCGTGTTCCGAAATTCATTGCCAGCACTGAAAATCTGTAATACGTAATTAGATTCCTGCAGTGGCAGTGAATTTCGGAACGCGACTAAATAAGAACGCCTTACGCATTTGTGGTATTACATTCTTGTGACTCTTATTCTATGATCTTAGATTTAAAAAACTATCTTATCCAAATGCTCCATCTATAATTTTCTTTATCATCTCAATCCTTTTGCATCTGTTCTACTATTGCAGGTACAGTGACCTTTTATAAAGTACTGTTAGGCGAGAACCTCTGCTAGCTTGACTAGCAGAGATAACACCCTGCATCCCCTATTCCCACGGTACGGCAGCCCAGAAACTCATGACACATAGAAACATAATCCGACGACTGGGCTGCTTTTTCGCGAACGAAACTGCGCAACATATTCATATATATAATAAAAAACCACACCCGGGCGGCCATTCTGTGCCAGGCGACTTCATAGCAAGGGTCACGATCGCTTAATAATAGTTAGTTCTTGTGCGAGATTTGAACCATTGTCCGAAATTCAATTATTAATTTAATAAAACGAACGCGTGTGGAAGTGATACCGTGTAGTTTTAATTGCTTCCCTGAGTTGCGACGTAACAGTATGCATAATATTTTGATGTTTATGCTGCTTATGCATATCTATCCTTAGAATACCCCATTTCCTAGATTTAATAAAAACATTTTTTCTAATCACGAAGTCAACTCTGTTGCACTTACAGCTCAAGAACTCGCAAAATACTATTACTACTTGGGGGATATTCATTAATATTCTTCGAAGTTAACATTGAATGTACGATTCTGATTTAACTATATTTTTTAGGAAAACTTAAATAAGGAAGATAGTGTAATATTTTTTGTTTACCTGTATATGCATTTTCTAGGCTACATTCTAGGAAATGTGCTCAGGGTGATGTTTCTAAAATCAGCACTAGTAAAAAAGAATTCGATACTTCGATATTTTTTAAAAAGCATCGATGTTCAATTATCGATTTTTCAACTAATCGATTATTTTAACATCGATATTTTTGTCGAACATCGCCCATCCCTAGTCGAGCGTCGAAGCCGAACTCCAAATTCCGCGTTGGTAAAACAGTCAACGTTTCATCGAAAATTAGGCCGAACAGAAACTGATTTCAGCGCCACCTCAGTTATCACATCCAACTAACGGCATGCTATTCTACATCACTTTTCGCACACATCTAAATGACACACGGATGCTACGATAGCTATACAGTAAAAGCTGGATATATGCAACAAAACTTTGGCTGGATATATGCAACATCGGTATCCCCTCCATTTGGGAGGCTCCCCCTAAGCCGAACCGAGCCGCTCGGCGAGGAAACCGTGTAATATGATCCGACCGTAATATCGGTGTGACTAATATTAATTGAACGATAAAACTTTTTTATTTTTAACTTTTTCCTAATGAAACTTTTACTAACGCATTTGTGAGATTTTTCTGATTAAGATGGTACCAAACACGATATGATTTGAATTATATTTATTTATTAAAATAATAATAAAACTGTACATATATATAAGGCAGGCCGTACACCAAAGATACATCAAACACGCAACATGCAACATGCAACACGTCGCATGTTGTGTACGAACGTAGAATAGGTATCGCGGCACGGTACAAACGATTTGTACGAACGTAGAATAGGTAACGCGGCACGGTACAAACGATTTGTACGGACACAGAATCGATACCAAGACTGGATATATGCAACGTTTAAATGCCCAGAATCGATACCTCGGTTGGATATATGCAACATTAAATGCCCAGAATCGACACCTCGGCTGGATATATGCAACGTTTGAAACCCGAGCCGACACCGCAACCGGTTTTCATTTCCAATCCTCCTTTGCTTTTCGCCAACTTTTAACATCAATTTTAGCAAGTAATTATAATTGAAACTATATCGTGTTTGGTACCACTTTAATCACAAAAATCTCACCAATGCGCTAGTACAAGTTTCATTTAAAAAAAGTCAAAAATAAAAAAGTTTTTGGATTCAATTAGTGTTAGTCACACCGATACGTTTCGGCTCTTTCCTTTGATCATCGGACCTCTCTCTTTCTGCCACTGTCTGTCCTTTTCTACGTTCACGCTTGGCTGCTCGTCGCGTGTAACCCG